TCCTAACAGTACTTTTTCTACCATTGGCTACTAAGGAAGTGATGGAGTCCGAAACAGGAAAAAATACTCCAAACTAAAACATAGATTTGTTTTAGGCGGTTGCTCGATAATTTTTAATTTAAGACTATAAAGAATGACTTGATTGATCGAGGCGACTATGGCCTTTCTAGTGATTCAGTCACGTCTCCGTACGGATCATGATCAAGTTTATTTTTTGTATAATTTCATTAATTTTTTGAGACCCAAAACAAGCAAACAAGTGTTTACTGTATAAGACACAGGGCGAATTCACTGGAAACTCAAAAGTAGTCGACATGCAGAGAAATTATAAAGTGTGTGTTGCCTATCCTTTTAACGAGGTCGTGGGATTTAAATCAACATTTATTATAACTGGCGCTTTCAAAGAAGCCATCTCGGAGATTGAAAATTACTGATATGATGATTAGGACCGCTGTCAAGTCTTCCGCTTTCCAGAATGGGCGTACAAAATGACCTCTTAAGTTTAAAATAATTGAACATATAAGTAACACCCATAATTATAACACGAGATCCGTTTCCAACAACAATATTACAACACCAGCTTGTAAAAGGAACTCTGGCCTTAGAACGTTTCATTCAAGCGCTTGCCGTTTGTGGAACGCTCTTGATCCCGAACTTAAGACACTCTCCCATACTAATTTTAAGAATTACTTATTTAAACTTTACCGTAGTATGATTTCTTTTCTTGATCATTTTAAGATTTGTAAAACCTTTTAGTTTCATTAGTAGTCAATTAATCAATATAGTATTAATAGTAGTTCATTATGTAATTTTAGTTGGTAGATTATATAGGTAGTTAATTAATTAATCGATACGTTTTATTACTTTAATTGTAGGAGGGCCATTATGAAAACTACTGGGTGACCAGTAATCAATGTCTTTACCCTCGTTAAATAAAGTTATTACTTACTTACTCACATTTATAAAGTTGTCGCACAAATAGTGGAATAGTGCCGAAGGACTATCTTATTTTGCAAGAAATTAAGTAATCGGAAACCTACGGCGAATACAGTTAGTACTACAAGAAGAACAAATTTAAATATGCTGAATGCGGGCTGAGATTAAAGAAATTAAGATGGAGAACCTCTATTTATCAAACCTTATCACATGCCCAAATATTAATACAGTCGAACCTCTCGGTACGGACGCCTTTCTAATACTGACACCTCTCAACCTCTATAATACAGATTCTCTCTAATACGGACAACGGACACTAAATTTCGGCCCCAGAGAAAAAATCCCGAATCCCGGTCAGATCAATCGATCTTTAGTGTGAATCCCGTCTAGTCTGCCGTGGTGATCGAGTGGTGAGCTATGCAAGGTGATTTAAAACCCAGTCGCTGTATATTAAACAACCATTTGCGAAAGTTGTGCAGAGGAACATAACCGACTTTTTGAAGGCTTCAATAACTACAGATAGCATAAATATCATTCATATCAACGAGAATATAGTTCAAAACCACATAAACATAGCATTGTGGAACGTACTTTAGTATTTAAACAGTAGATAAAGGCTTATTTTTATCCCCTAAAAATTTTTCATCTGTTCGGATTTCCCAGCTGAAAGTATAGTGATCCGAAAATTATAGGGATCAAAATCTACCTTTCCGAAAATTTCAGCCAGAAAAAAGGCTCCCGAAATTTCTAGGTGACCTTTTTAGGGTAAAAATCCGTTAAAAATGGGCAATTATTCCATTTTTTGGATGTTCGAAAATCCTAGGAGAAGCAGGCAAGCAAGAAATTTTACAGAAAATGATCCGAAAATTCTAGATCTCAAATCGTCTTCCGAATAGATAATTTTCCGACAATTGTCGTTGGGTGCCCCTGATTCGATAGCTGTTATATAGAGACTCCTATTTATAGAACTCGCAAACATGCATAGAACTGAAGTAAAGTGCATGACAGCATTTTACCTTTCGACAAAGTGCTTTAACAGTAGTTCTTCATGATTCTGTGGAAATCTCGGAAATTTAATGAAGCATCAGGCAACATAGCAGGCTAATATTTCTGAGTAGCTTGTTGATTTTCGGATGATTTAAATATTTCAATAAAATCACTTTATAGTTGATAATTACCCAGTACTATGATCTACTATGCGAGTGGCTTGTTTACTTGCCCCGAGAGAAACGGGCCGGATACCTGGCTTTCTTCCCTTCTGCTGAAAAAACAAAATCGTTCTAAGAATCTTTAAACTCTTAAACCTATAAACCGTCTTCGAACTATAGCTGGCACCTGTAGATTTAGCTAGGCTTCGATCATGCCTGACGTTGTCTCTTCTATATCTCCTTTTTCTTTTCAAAAAAAAAAGACACGAATGATTGCAAGTTAGCGGGATTGAGACCCAGGGATTGATAGCAAGTTATCAGACCACCTACCCACCTTCTGTTTCATTAGGAGACAGATAGCAAGGCTAAAACCAAAGAGATTCTTCAGGGACTATTCAAATTTTGACCCTGAGACCTATCTGAATGACATAAAGTCAGCTGACTGGAGTAGCATCCTAAATGACCCAACCGACATCCACACTAAAGCCAGCAGCTTTGTCGAAAAACTTAAAGGCATAGCCAATAAACATGCGCCAATTAAACGCATACCCCGCAGCCGTCCAAAACAAAAGATTCACGAACCCTGGATAACAGATACCTTATTAAATTCTATAAGAAACAAACAGAAAATGTATCGCACGCACTTTCTTTCTAACGATCTAGACAAGGTAGCTTACTATAAAAAAAAATACTCAAATACTCTGAATAAGCTGAAATGGACCTGTAAGTCATCCTACTATAAGCAGCAATTTGAACTAAATAAGAACAACCTAAAAAATACATGGAAGTTAATTGGCACCACTTTAAACAGGAAACCTAAAGGGCACACTGTACCAGCAAAGTTACACTACAATGGAAAAACCTACACCAACAAACATGACATTGTCAATCAGTTCAATGAGTACTTTATAAATATTGGTCGAAATTTGGCATCTACAACTCACTCAAGTATAAAACCTGATGCTTTCCTCCCAGCAACTCATAGTTCTAGTTTTTTTCTTTCCCCTGTGGATTCAGCGCAAGTTGTCGAGTTAGCACTATCTGGCCTTGATAGACACAAAGCCACTATAGATATCCCTAACTATATAATCAAGATTGCCAGCAATCTGCTTTCAACTCCCCTCACAAACTTATTTAATGAATCAATTGAATCAGGTATTGTCCCAGATATTTTCAAGATCTCAAAGGTTACCCCAGTCTTTAAGACTGGTACAGTGACAGACCCTGGCAATTACCGTCCCATTGCTGTCCTCTCTCCGTTTGCTAAAATCCTTGAAAGACTAGTGTACAATCAGCTAAGTCATTTCCTAGAAAAGGAAAACATTCTTTTTAAACACCAATTTGGCTTCAGGAAAAATTATTCTACTGAGCAAGCAATTGTTGAACTCACTGACAATCTTAAAATGAAAATTGACAGCAATGAAGCTATATGCAGTATTTTTCTTGACCTATCTAAAGCCTTTGATACTGTCAACCATCAGATCCTACTATAGAAATTATACAGATACGGGATCCGTGGTGTCCCTCTGCAGTGGTTTAAAAGCTATCATGAAGGCAGAACACAGTATGTTGAAGTTGAAACCAATGTGGTGTACAGCAAGGTTCTGCCCTTGGCCCACTTCCGTTTTTGATACACATCAATGACATGCCCAATTGTTTAGAAAAGGCAAATATTAGAACATTTGCTGATGACACCACTCTCTTCTACTCTTCCAATTCTCTACAGGACCTTGAAAAAACTATAAATGAGGAATTCAACCATCTTCTTAGCTACTGCTCAGCTAATAAACTTTCTGTAAACTTTAAGAAAACCCAACATATGACAATCTCCTCCCCCCCAAAAGCAAATAAACTTAAGCTTAATTTATGCAACGTTGAAGAAAAGAACTACATCAAATACCTAGGTATCTACATTGACAAAAATCTAAATTGGGCTCCCCACATTCAGCACATAAACAACAAAAAATATCTAAAAACATGGGAATCCTTTTCAGATTACCCCATTTCTTAACTTTAAACCCCCTCAAACAAAATTAACATATTACTCACTTATCTACCCCTACCTTCATTATGGAATTATGAGTTGGGGAAACACATCCAAGTAGATTAACTAAAGTTCAAACAAAACACGCTGCATATTTTTTACCCATAAATTATAGAGAAAGTAGTGAACCCTACCTCAAACTTCTAGATATACTTAACATAGATAGCATTTTTTAACTCAAAATCTCCTTGCTAGCTCACAAAATCTCACAAAATGAAGCCAATATCCCTGAAGTGTTTCAAAACTACTTCGTAAAGGTGTCTGATATTCACTCACACAATACCAGATATGCCTCAAATCTCAACTTTCATGTACCACGTGTAAGGTCAAATTACGGCAAACACACATTTAAGTTTGCCATAACCAAAACTTGGGAAGAGATTCCTACTAAGATAAAAACACTTAGCTACCATAAGTTCAAAAAAGAATATAAGCGAATTCTAGTTAACTCTCAAAGGTAACAATATTGTAATATGACTGTCTCACATAACCTGACTGCTGGCATAATCGTCCATAGTTGCCATGGCACCAGGCGCATATTTATTATGTATTTCCAATCATAATATAGCGGTGGTTAGCTCGAAAGCTAAGCTCCGCTGACCATCGTACACTTCTACCCAAGCCATTAATTTTCTTTTTTTTCCTTCTTCTTCTCCTTTATTAGTGTATTCCTACCTTACTATTTATAATGTAAATATTTTATAAAGTGTGAATAATAAAATTGAATTGAATTGAATTGAATTGACTTGATCGCGCTTGACTGCTTTACACGGGTTTTCTGCTTGTTTTTGTCCGGCAGAAATGTGCTGATTTTTTCCTGTTCAACAAAAACTTATCTTTTTACTTTACAGAGCGTTGTTTGGAGTTCAGACATGTCCTCGATTGTAACATCTGTATTTAATGCCACCATCGGTTGGCTCGTGAATAAAGGAAGAGATGTGACAGCAGAGAGGCTGAAAGAAGGGGACGTGGCGGATCAAAAAATCCGTGATTTAATCGTTCGTGAAGTGGAAGATATCAAGTCGAAGTTGGAAGGATTATCAAGAAAGGATCTTCTGACAGCTGTAGACTCCTTTCAAACAGGGATCAGGTATTTATTTGAAGCATTCGATGTAAAACCCAGTAGCCAAGCCAATGTGGGAATAACAGACGAGAATCTTAGCGAACATGACTTAGAAGAAGCAATGAAGACAGTTTCTGTCGCCGCGGAAATGGGAAAGTTAGAAAAAAAGGATTTCAACGAAACGATGAAAAACTTCTTTTTTCAAGCCAAAAAGAGATTCGAAACGGCTCGTAACGAAGCAACAAAAGCCTCCAACAACGAAGCTCTGAAGATCTTCGATCGGATCACAGCCATTCGATATCGTGTCATGGCAACCGTATTAGAGTCAGTGGTAGAGACGGTGGGAACTGCGGGCGACATGTCGCCTTCATCCTTAAAAACTGCATTGACCAATGCATTACCTGAGTGCGAAGAATGTCTTCAGAAACTCCACTCCTTTCCAGCTGTTCAGGATAACTTTAAAGTGGAGCTAGATAAAGCTGTCCTTAATGTCAGAGGTCGGTATGGTAAAGATGAACGAAGAAAGATAATTTCCACGGTATGCCAGATAAATCGTGCCATCTACAATGCAACACGAGCACTTGGAAGAGACGCCTTGGTCTGGCCATTTGTCGACACTGGAGAAGACAAAGTTGATCCTCTGCGCGATGGAAGAATATCAAAGGTACAGCACAAAGTTAAGATGGAGCACTGCAGTTTACTATGGTCATTTGGTCAGCAGGGTGAAGAGGAGCACAAGCTGAAGTTTCCGCTTGGTATCGCTACAAACCATAGAGGACAATTCCTGATAGCAGACTATGGGGATAAAACCGTGAAGGTGTTTGATAGCAACGGAAAGTTTGATTTTAGGTTTGATCCTCAAACTGATAACGCCGATACAAAGTTAGTTATTTTGGATGTCGCCACTGCAGGCGAGGACGACAGGATTTATCTTCTGGTCAGAGTGAAGAAGCCTGGGGCTTGGAAATGGGAGAGTGAAGTGCAGGTTTTTAACAAGACTGGTGACCTACAGCACAAGTTTCCTGTGAGGAGGAGCGGGGACTGGGACAAACTAACAGTGAGCAAACAACGCGGCAAAAAACGCGGCAAAATTCTGCTGTTGGCAGATAACGTTGTTGATATTCATGAGCCGAGTGGCGAGTTCGTTTGTAGCTTTGGTGGAGGAGTGTTCAGGTTGGCAACAGATATCACTGCTACTTGTGATGGTCGCGTCATGATAGTGGACCTAGGCGATGACAGTTTGTACATATTTGATGTGGAGGGACACCAGCTTGGCAAATTTAATATCGAACATGAGAAAGATGACTATTATCGCATTGCATATCACCCGGCAAGTGCAGACCATGTTGTCCTTGCTGGTTATGAACGAGAGACACGCCGCCTGACGCTGGCTATATACACTGTTAATGGCGAATTTGTTCGCAGAATTCAGCTGGATGAAAAAGTCTTTGGATTAGGTGGAATAACAGTGACCGTGGAGGGTCACATTGCTGTGGCTTTACAGGCTATTACATACGAGGGTATTCACCAAGTAAAGGTAATTGTTGTTTAAAACTAAAAAATTCGAAGACACAAGTCAACAGTTTTTATTTTACTTTCATGAATAAATGTCATCAAGGCAAATGTTTAAATTTAATGCTGCAGTTGATTGGAATCACTGGACATGACTGCATTAAGCCACATACACTGGCTTAAGTTCACTGATGTTTGTAGTAAATCTTGTGTTATCGTTCTAACTAAGAAACCAAAACGGGTAGAATGAATGAGATACATGTACAGTAAACACTCGGTAATAAGAACCTAACTTAAATTTTTTTTGAGGTCTGGCAAAAAAGGTTCATTTATTTTGGGGTACGTTACAGAGTAATTAAGGCTAAGTACAACTGTAGGTTCTTAATTAGGTTTTAATTTCTGTGAAGGAGATGAACGTAACAGGGTGTCCCAAAAGTTTGTTCCTCTAATTTCATGCTCAGTATTAACTACTGATCAAAACTTTATTTTTACATGAAATTTCTAAAAGATGTTTATTGCTCTATCAAGTACATGATTGTATTCAGAAGTTCAGTAAGCTGCAGGTCCCCTTTTTTTTCTTATCACATTCTGTAGTCATTGCACATGGCATAAAGTGGGATAAGTCATCATAGCGTCTAGAGCCCCATATGAGCCACTTTTAGCTTTTTCATCACCTGGTACACAGGAGCCACTTTGACCCCCAAACAATATCATTTTTTTAGATTAGGCAGCCAAAAAAATATTTTAAGCATTCATGTAAACAAAATATAATCATCCCGGCCTCTCTCTGCAGTAAGGTTTTTGTACTTCTTTGCCAAGGAGACTAGCTGAACGTTGCTTGGTGGACTGAGCAAGGTTTTTTGTTGCCATCTCACAGGCCTCCAACCGTCTCTTTCCAGGAAACTGCCCCAGACTTAGCTTGCTAACTGTTTTGAGAGCCGCCTTGTTGAGTTTCCTTTCCTTTTTGCCCAGCCTATTTTAGAACTATTTTAGCTGCTTTATTCGGGACTTTATGTTCTCCAGCAGGTTCTTAAACCACAGTTTCTTATTAGTGAGTGGGTGTTTACTGTAAGTACAGTAACATTCTTTTGTTTCTTTAAGAATTGGTGGTATAATAATATTTTTGTTTGTGCAGAATGGAAAATAATACAATCCAAATTCAGTTGGTTTACAAAAACATCCTCATCATTTACCAGCTTCTCTATAACTCTTTTTGTTAAAGATTCAAGTTTTTAAGTTTGAAATGCTCTACATTGTAACTCAATCGCATGCCACATCAAAATACACCTTTGAAATCTTCTCCAGGAAAAATATTTTATGATGCTCTCTAATTAAAATATTAAGCTTGACTCCGGCTTTTAATGTTAGTATACAGCTGTAGGTGAAACTCTGCAGCAATCACCTTAAAGATGGAGATCTCTAAGTGTTTATTATGGGGAGATAGGTATATAAAGCCTTGTTTCCATATGATCATCCCGATCACCCCAGTCGTTTAAAAAAGTTTTGAGATGATCCAGACAACTGGGACGATAGGTGGTTTCCATGTGATCGTACGGGTGCCTCAACGACAAGAGACACGGGGTGTCATCAGCGATGTCTCTGAGTCAGACAATAGAATTTTTGTGTGGGTTTCACAAACAAGCCAAACATACATGTAATGATGGATTTTAAATGGTGAGCAAATCTCGAGCTATGCTACCTTCTTTTTGTCTCTATTTTGTGGTGTCAACAAACTAGAAGTCAGTTCCACAAAGATATTGTATCACGTATAGAACTTGATGAAACAGACTTTCTCTTTAATTCAAATAGCACCCATACGTGATGTGAACATTTTTAATTATTTTTTACTTCAGCGGCATCCAGGCCGAATATATTCTCAATTAATGGAATGATAGTGATGATTTCTGGGATAGCCTTTGATTGTCCTGATAGTCTCAGTCATCTGAGATTATTTCCAGATCACTTCAAAATTTACACGATGCTCCCAATCATCCGCATAGAACTCAACTCTATTCACGCGATCGATAGAGGTCATCTCAGTCATCCAGGTCATTTGCGATCGTCTGGGTAGGGTTTTCATATGATTGTCCCGATCATCTGAACATTATTTGAGGCATCTGGGACAATCACAGCACAGCCAAAATGTGTCAATGACAGGGTTATCATGGACAGACATAATCAGGGAAAATCTATAATATAAATAGTTATACATATGATTATAAAAGAAATGGGATTTTTCTTGGCCAGAGGAAGTTTGCAGGTGGTCAGGAAAAGGCAGTTAATGTGAAGGTCTGTGAAAAGTCAGCCGCAAGTTTATTTTCTGGTAAAAAGTTTTCAGAAAACGCAGTGAAAATCATTTTAAAAAAGTCAAAAACGAAGAGTAGAGTAATACTGAATTTTTTGGGGGGGAAATTTTTTTATAAGTTTCTGCTGCTGAATTAATAAACTCTATATGAAAAACAAGCAAACAAAACCTCAGGAAAAAAAAGTTGTTTACGGAGCAAAACAAAGCAAATAAGGTGTTGACTGAGATCTAGAGTTTATACTTCAAGTTGTTTTTTGCATATTAACTTGAAAAGAAGCTATGACATCATTGCCTATAACAAAATGCTGTAAAATTAATATTAATGGCCTTGTGCCCAAATCTTAATCAGCTAACAAGCTCATTATTTAACCACTGCTAGGATTTTGTTGCATGATAAATGTGTGGAAAAAATGAAAAATATTAATGTAAACATGCCTATTAATCTGTTATTCAATAAAGTTATAAGCAATAGATGTTTATTATTAATTGGATAAACCTAGCCTGGTCATGTCCAGTGAAGCCAACCAACTGTATACATGTAGAAAAATGCAAAACTTTGCCTTTGATGATATTCATCACGAAAAAATCTGCACTGTTCACTTACTGTTGTGTCTTCGAGTTTATTAGTTTTAATCAACAATTTATAATGAAAGGGTGTGTGGAAAAAAATTCGTAACTTTTTTTTAGATTTTTACAAAAATGCAGGCCGGTATTTTTAGGTTTTCATGCCTGTGATTTGACAGTCTGCAATTTTTATTAACATTTACTATATCGACACGAGTGTTTTACTGGAAAATATACCACTCGTAAAATTCATAAAAACTACATCCGGGACCCGAGTAGTTTATTTTCCATAATCTCACAAGTGAGTTTATCGATGACGTAATGTCGGTAATTTCCCTCTATTATTTTATCCATGTCTTTTTGTCTATATAATAAAAAGAACATTACACGGCGGCTTGAAGACATGAATTTTATTTTCTCGTGGCAAAAACAATATTTTATGAACGAGCGCATTATCTTCGCGCCACCGTGTAATATCCTCTATATAACACTAAAGAATCTATGCAATTTGTTTTGGGACACGAATTTTCAATATCGAGATTAACATTAAAAATCAAGAAGCCAAATAAGAAGGTCTAAATTCCTTGTTGAGCAAGACAACAAGAAAATGGCAGGGTGATTTCATTGAATAGCTCGATGTTAGTTTATACAAGTGCCAAACTTTCCAATTACTTTTTAGGGGCAGTGTCATCAAGGTTTTGTGCTACGTACTTCAAAATCCAACAAATGCATTATTCACCGATTCACTATTTTCACATAGACCATAATGCACCTTGTTTGCCCCCAAAATTTTGCATAAACATTCTTTTCAATATTCAATATTTCTCTTGAGATATGTGACTGTAATATCCAGGAGAAACTGAAAACAAAAATTAATGCAAAATTTTCGGGGTAAACAAGGTGCATAAATTATGGTCTATGTGAAAATGGTGAATATAGTAACCTTAATGGCCTCTCTAGGCATCATTAAAAAGAGAGTTTACGCCATAAGAAAACTTAAGTGCATGGACAAATCCTTAAAAAAGTTGGGTCGATCCGTTTTCAAGTTTGCTGGAGTTACATCAATTGGAAAATCTTTTCAAAACCATTGAAAAGATATTGTTATTATTATAGTTCACTTGCGCTTTTCAGAATGATTCGATGTCTTTCTCATCATTCAAATGTCATTTTGTGTAACTCTATATAGGGTTCTAAACGGGCCTTATAGCAAAGTATGTGATTTCTCTGCCGGAGTATATGTGTATTTTGCACAAAACAGTCAGAGTTGGTTATTAAAACAGAGCCTTACTGATAGAATGAGGTTTAAAAAAATGTCTGGGCCCCCAAATAGATATTAAATGATCTTTTCAGCCTAGTCTGGAAGGCTTTTTGATGCTCTTAACAACAAACAATGTTTTCTAGATATGGCCGGTAAGGATGGTAAAATAATTGAAAAATGACTTAGAATGCGCAAGTTCTGTTAAACACCACCTAAACTTTGTTTTAATAACCAGCCTTTAGTTTCAATTTCTAGATTCACAATTACCTAAAAATTTTAGAGTCTACATTGTGCCCAAAGCAAAGTGGCCTTTAAGGGAACAGGTCGTAAGTTGGTTTCTGTGTCCAGATTATGCAAACTTTGGACCACAAATTATGAGTTAAAGTTGCCTTTGTGTGTTTAACAGAAAGCTACATGTACATAAATGGAGTTAATATTTCTTATCTCTTAATTAGTTTTAGCCCTTTGTGGGTTTATAAATGGAAAGCTTTATGTAAATATGCCACGTTATTAATACTGCCCAAGCGTAAGTAGGTCAAGATGGCTGGAATTGTTAGTGGTTTCAATGTTTTAATGAAACAATACAAAGTTTGTGATCAACAAGTTCTTTAACCTACGTAGACTAGCTGGCGGTTTCATTTGGGGTGTCTAAGAGACATCTCTCACTTTACAAACTACAAACGAAAACAACACCCTGCACACAGCAAACAAACCGCCAGCTGTGCGGGCTACAAGTTCTTGGAAACTCAGTGTTTTGTTGCAAGTTTTCCTTGGTTGAAAGTTTTTTTCTTTCTTAAATAAAATGAACCAAGGATGAAAATGAATTTCTACATAGGCATACCGATAATTTAAGACAGAATCCACCAGGAAATTGAGTAATTTTAATTTTCAGTGGACAAAAACAAAAAAAACAGAATAATTTAAAGAATTTTTCATTCTTTGTTTTACATTTTTCAAGGGCTGAAGATGTAATAAATCATCTGTAGTAACACCAAAGAAAATTTCTCATGGAAGTTCGAGAATTATGAATGTCAAATTCTACGAGAATTGTGACTACACATTTAAAATTCTGAAAAATTTGACATTCATTTTCTTGGGCTCCCATTTTTTTTGTTGTCACTACAGATGATTTATTACATCTTTAGCCCTTGAAAAATGTAAGAAAGAATGCAACATGCTTTAAATTATTAAGTTACAAGATTTTTGTCCTCTGAAAATCAAAATTCCTCAATATCCTGGTGGATTCAAATTTTTTTTCAACATTTACATTGTATCTTTATCATGACTGAACTGTAGCATTGTAATAGCATTGGTATTTTGTTAATTCCTATGTTTTATTTGCAAAATAAAATTAAATGTGTTACTGGTTCAATTTTTTAGAAAATACATAGTTTTTTGTTTTGAACTGAACACGTGGGGAGGGGTGAGGCAGTGGTCAGAGCACTCGACTCCCATCAATTTGGCCTGGTTTCGGGTCTTGCTATGTATGCCATATATGGGTTAGGGACCGGTCGCCTGGGTGCGGGGTCGGAGGATTTTAGAGGGGATTACTTGATTTTTGGGAGAACAAAAGGGGGGATCAGTTGTAACTGAGAATCCAAAAGCGGGGATCGCTGAAAACTTCGGAAGGATTCAGAGTGGGGACCACTCAAATTTGCTTGGAAAATGAAGACATGGTGGGGGGGGAGATCGTGAAAGTCATCAAAAGTTATTAGGGGGATCACTCAACACTCAAGGGGGTATCGGCTAACTTTCCTCTTGTTTTGCCTCAAATCCTCCCCACCCCCGGAGATAAACAATGACCTGTCCCTTAGACCTGGTTAGCAATGAACGCGCTAAATTATTGAAAATCGCGACCCGCGAGGAAGGTGTCCCACGCGCGGTGCTCTGTTTCTTTCGCGCGTCACCTTTCTCGCGGGTGGTGAGGAAAATGACAGAATACTCGTAGTCAGATTGTTAAGGCTATTTTCTTTCCTGACTTTTTTACCGCAAAAAAAATAATAAAGCATTGTTATGGAACTCTGGCGTCGAGTTTTCCCTGGAGGCAAAGAAGCTAAGCGACGTATAAAATCTGTCATTTAAAATTATTTTAAATGACAGATTTTTCAGGAGTTAACAGAAAAGCAAGAAATCCCGAAGGAAACCCCAAGCGGGCTAGATTACTGTGAAACTCAGAAAACCGTGAACACATGAAAAATTTCGGGAAAGTTGACTGTGTAGCGGCAAAAAAAAAATGCACTTTATTTGAGTGTCAATGTATTTAGCAGGAGAGTACTATTTGGGGACACTATTTTACACGGGACCGCCATTTTACGTGGTCATCCGAGGCACGCGAAGGTCTAGCCGCTTACAGCTTAAAAAAGTACCTTCATATCTCAGTTATTTTAAGACCTTGAGTATTGTTGGTTTTCACATGACGTCACTAAAATTCAAACTACTGAGCTAACCCTGCGCGGCCAATCACAATAAAGTTTAGGATACGAAAGGAATCCTCAAAACCACAAACTAATTACCATTGGTGTTTGTGCTTTAGTTATCTCGCGCCTTATTGGGTAATTTCTCGCAACACAATAACATGCCATAAATATTTCTGGTGTTGAAATTGGAAAGCTCTTCCCTATAATGGCAAAGTGAGCACGATAGGGACATACCGCTTTCACGAACTTAAACTTCAAGCCGTTTCTGAACACGCCAATAAGACGAGGCATTATCAGCCCTGGGACGAGGTCACTTTTAACAGTAACCGAGACCCTCGCTGGTACTCTCGGAGGGTTAAAGAAACACTTAACAGCATCAATAGGGACAGTGGAATTGAGAATCCTGATACGACGATGCCTACAGTCAGACACCGAGCAGTAAGTACAACAGGACAGCGGACCGCTGAAGGAACAGTCATCTCCTCTAATGCCAACAATACTTTAGATCGAACCCTACCAACCATGTCCTGGATGAGGTTCGTGATACACCAATCACTAAGAACTACGGTGGTTTACTAATATTCCCGCTCGGTAAATCGTAATTCGACTATCGTGAAACAAACGATAAAAAAAACCTTGATATAAATGATATTGATCTTCAGATGTTTCACAATTTTCACCACTTGAAAAGGGTTTTGTGTTATATTTGCAGTAGTTAAGGGTGAGAAATAACGTATTTTACTGTGAAACTCACGAACCGTAAACACCAGAAATATTTATGGAATGTTATTGTGTTGCGAGAAATTAGCCAATAATTAAGGCGCGAAATCAACACGAAAACTGAGCAATGGTAATTAGTAGTTTGTGGTTTTAAGGTTTACTTGCGTATTCCTGAACTTCATTGTAACTGGCCAGTACACAATTAACATTCCTGAAAAATTTCAGGTGTTCACGGTTTTCTGAATTTGACAGTAATCTAGCCCGCTCGGGTTTTCCTGCTTTGTGTCGCCAAAAATAGTGTGTTTTGTCCATATATTAATGTGTTCTTTGTAGTCCAAGCCAGTTCGGTAACAAACTTGGCTGAATATTAGCCTTGTTCTCTCTCTTTTTAAAGTCTGCGTTTAAAAGAACTTGTGTAATAACGAGCCATCTTTACCCCTGGCTTAGCCAATAACGCACATGTACTGTAGCCTGCATAACAGTCGCTTTATGAGACACGAGAGGCGAACGCAGCATTTTGAGCGAAGCGCGAAAGGAGTGCGAAGCGCGAGACGAGGGAAGGAGCTTTATGCTTTATTTTTATCCTCCTCTTGTTTCGCGCTTCGCACTCGTTTTGCGCTTCGTGCAAAATGCCGCGTTCGCCTCGCTCGGCTCATAAAGCGCCTGTTATGCAGGCTAATGTACTGTAGCGGTAACACTAAGTAATATGCATCAAAACCTTTATTAGGCAATAGACTCTTTCTGCTTGCATGTATGTTTTGTTTTCTCGTTTCAGAACACGTGTTGGTTCTTATGCACGTGGGTCCACGTGCATATGTATGTATAATTAATAAAAAGACAAAAATTCCCTGGAGAACATCACGTGGTCTGAATTGGGAAAGCAAAAGAAAAGATCGAGCAGAATGATGAAATGCCAAGGAACAAGAGAGGATAAAGTCCTCTCTTGCCAAGAAGTATATGTATGGTAATAAGGGCAAACACACTTAATCACTCCCACACTGATGACAACTGTGGTGTTATAATGTTTACATTGATCAGCATGTAAGAGCGATGAATAGGTATAGACTACGAGTATATACTCCCCCATTTTTCCTCAGGGATAGTAGAGCGTGCGAAACGCGAGCGCGCGTGAAAATCACCCCACCCGAGAAAAGGCGACACGCGGCGGGGAGAGCTTTTCTCGCGTGGGGTGATTTTCACGCGCGCTCGCGTTTCGCACGCTCTACTATCCCTGAGGAAAAATGGGGGACTACTCGTAGTCTAGAATAGGTAGGGCTGTTTAGGTACAGCAGTCGAACCCGTCTAATACGGACACCGAAGGGACAGAGCGAAGGTGAAGAGGTGTCCGTATAAAAGAGGTCACTA